GTTGATGGTCGAGAGAATCTTTCAAAGGTCGGAATGGTGAAAAGACCGATTTTATTATGATTCGTATAAGTCTGAAGACGCTAAAAAGTTGGTAATTTTGTAGAACAGACCCTTGTGTACAGAATACAATATCGAATTAAATTGTTGGATTTATCTAAGTGAAGCTATATTTGATTTAAAAAGATCTTTCGTCATAAACTCAATTTTTCAAACATAAGGAGATGACAGGAAAACAATAGTTTAGGCACTTTATCACAAGATGCAAACGGAACTTGAATAGTACATTTTGTAGGGCAAATTTTTATTCTACAAGTTAATATTTGAACAAAAATTTCAACATTTAATTTCAAATTCCAATAGTGAAAATATCGAAAATGTATGAAAGTATATTCGGAAAGAGCACGGAACTCTTGTCCTAACCCATAACGTCACATTCGTCTAGAATATTTGTAAATGGATCAAAAATGAACAAGCATAAATGACTTATTATTATGTTCTATACTCAATCAACAAACAATTGATGATTTTCTATGAAAACTACAGAAAATGCTTTTCTTTATGCATACTTTCTGGATAGTTGTTCTATAAGGAGCACAGAAATATTCATTATATAGCGGCCAATAAAAACTTTCAAAGAGAAAGACTAGAAACAAGAATAAATTTAGTAAAGCGAAATCTTTTCGCTTCTTCTCCTTAATCCGATGACCTTCTCATCTTACATATCATCAACTTTCTAAATACTTGATAGTATTCATTTCTGTTTCTTTAAGTTAATTTTAAAATAAAAAACTTATATGAAATCAAGATTTAACAATAGTCAGAGTTTTTAAACTTTTGAAATCTCTTGATCAATTTAGAGATGAAAATTATTTGTAGAATTTAAAGATTCATTTCCAGGAATATGAAGTGTTACATTGTATAAAATATTATATTTTCAACAATATCTATAAGATTATTATTACTCAAAATAGAATAACAATTTTCTAATAGTTCATATACACATTCGCTAATTTTTTAAACTATATTCCATTAATTAATTTTTCTAAATAGGTATTTCTTGAAAATTAGAAAACGATTAATTTATAATGAAATATAATTTTTAGTGAGTGTTGGTATTCATAATGACATAGAACAATACTTACATCATAAAAACTTAAACAGAAAGAAAATTTAGTCATAATCTATGATAAGAAATCATTAGTGCAGAATAGATCGAGGCATATTCATTAAATCCACAATTTCTTTTATTGTGAAATGAGATATAAAATATTAATACACATTGGTATATATTGAAATTTTGCCACCATCCTACTAGTTCGTTCTAATTTGATTATTTTAATTATTATAGAGAATTTAACCATTTCGGGACGATAGATGCATATAGGTGTTTCCCGTTCGAGAATAGTTCAGATCTATTGATTCGTACTACTTATCATTGATCTAAGTAGTATTGTTCAATCATCTGATGCGAACGATATACATATACACTGCATCAGTCTTCAAAAGATTCATAGCACTCATTAGAAATGAAGATTAATTCAGTTAAACTAATTCCATGTTTCATTCTTTTACTTCGAAAAATAAAAGAATCCCGTCCTGAAAGGATTGAATACTGTTGAAATATATAACGAAACAATCTAGCACGACCTCGTGTTATCATACTCTCTAGTGTATGCGGATGTAATGTTGAGCAAACTTGTATGCAGCGCGAACTACACTATTCCATGATTTAGAACGTCCTAGAAGAACACTGAAGAAACGACAGAGATATCCGACGCATGCAATCCATCGTCAGGGCTGTCAATATTTTTAAGAGATGAGGAGAAAGAATGAAACCCGCCATTGCTCAGCCCTTTCCACAACAGACGACCTGCGATCAGACTGTCTCTCCCGCGGCACCTGTACCAATCCTACTCACCTCGCAACGACATTGTCTGTTTATTATTATTTTATTTTCTACTAGAGAAAGGCAAATGGTGTTGCAAAATCTAGTTTCCATCCGAAGTTGTCGCGAAAATCTCATTCGCATTCATTAACAATATGTAATAATTGAAAATACAATAAATTTCTTATTTAGAATACAAATATTCTCATAATTTTGCAAACTTTTAATTAGAGAAAAATTTTATCGAATAGTTTTAATGATACATAAAATAACATTCTTCTAATTTTCTTTAAATTCTTACCTATTTTTCATTTTAACAATCGATATGATAATTGAACAAGTTGATTCTGTGTTGAGAAAAAAGAAAGAAGGATTATTAATCAGAAGAAGGCAGTAAAACAAAAGGAAAGGTGCGCTTATATTCTTTCTCGTTTAGTTTTTTTTCATCGTTTGCCAACATTGAGAGAGATAGAGATAAGGTAGTCTCTCTTCTATTAAACAACGATAAAACTAACTTGAAACGTATATATATATATACACATGATGACATAGAGCAAACAAAAAAGAATAAACGAATATTCCGAAAGCAATTCTCTTCATTTTTTTATTTGACCGATCTTCAATTTCGATGATAAGAAGAAAAAAAAACAAATTAAAAATCATTTTTCATTCTGTTCATTTATTAAGAAAAGAAAAAAAGAAGAACATATATTCAATGTAACAAACACCTGTCCAATACTAATATCATTTATTTTCATTTTAAATAAAAAAAAAAAAAGAATAAATTTTAACTCAAAAAAAAAAAAAAACACAACAATAGTCATCATAACAATAATAATAAACTTTGATCTTGCATCGCTGCTTCGACTGTCTAACAGTTAGTATATGATGTTGGTCTAATCTTCTATCGACGATGTAAATGTGTGCACAAATAAAAGAACTTTTATCTTTCTCTTTCTCCCTCAGCACGTGTTGTACTTCATCTTTCATTTCACAGCTAGTTGACTATCTCGCTTATATACAACATCAACTCAATGTAACAACTCATTTTTTTTTTTTATATTGACATTCTTCACACATTCACTAACTTACACTATTTGAGATTTAAAAAAGAAAACAAATAGATAAAACTTTTTTTTTCTTTTTTAACTACTTGAAAATAATATATTCTAATTTTTATATGTTCTTTATAAGATAGAATTTGATTTCTATTGACCTTCTAATGTGGATTAATAGATGAAAATTGATTTGTTTCTTTACGCACATTTTCACATTTATCGAAACAATTTATGAATAACAATTTATCATCAAAAAAAAAAGGATTGAAGACGGTTGTATCATTATTTTTTGTATATTGACATGAATATATGATGAATTGATGATAACAACATACATCTTTTATGTTATCAAAAAATAAAAGTTTCTTTAGTTCATTATAGTTAACTGTTGCATAATACTTAGTTTGCTTGTTTTTAATCAATAACATTCTCTTTTATCTTTTTTGAATAAATAAAAAAAAACAGAAGATCAACATTTTGTAATTTCTAATTGATTGAGAATCAAGTTGAAATTGATCATCATTTTGTAACTATGAATATGGCTTAAAACAAAAGTAAAATAATTTTCCGTTTATTGATTATTCATATATATATAATGAAAATAATAGCATAACATTCTATTACTTTTGATGACTTCAATATTTTGACCTTTCAACTGTCGAAATTTTACATAATCACCTCATCCTATACGTTCCTGCATAAGTTTAGAAAAAAAAACAAAGATGTTCGATAATATGAAACATTTACAACCACTACACAGTATTTTACTTCTTTTTAACAATCTAAAATTGTACTTGACTTTAACTAATGATGATAAACTTTAAATTCTATTTTATGAAGTTTGTTCATATAATAATAGAATTTGTAAAACTAAATTGATGAAGAGAATTTTATGTTGTATTATGTTCATTCATTAAAAATTTCTACCGTTGATTCTGTAAGTATCCTGAATGATAATTAAGATTAATAGTTTTTCTCTTAGTTGAAACAACTTTAAAAACATTAACAGATTGAATTTGAGTGTATTTGTTTAAGAAATAGAACAATACCTGATAATACTAATGTATAATGTTCAAGGCGGCTATGGGTAACTACAAGAAGTTGAAAGAAAAAAAAAAGATTTATATTTTGTGATGATACTGTTTTTAGTTTGATGTTAGGACATTTTTATAATGGTTAGTTACCTTTTATACAGAACTATTGATTTAATATTATTTTTTCCTTTAAATTTCCGGTAGTAGAGAAAGAACAATAATTTGTTTGTCAGAATCATATACTAGATCACACAGTAAAAAGAATATTGATTTAAAAAACATATCAAGTTTAACTTATATAATTATTGTTTATCTAATAATTCAGATGATCTTATATTTGAGTAAATCAATTCTAAATGGATTGAAAAGTTTTCTTTAGCACAAATGAAAAACTTTGAACAGATAACAATTGATTAGTCAGCTATAAATCTGCTTTTTTCATCGTTCGAAAAAGAAAAGTGGAGGGGAAGTATGTAAAACTCAGATAAATTATCTTGATCAATGTTATACTCGAGATGATTTATTAGAGTTTTACATACTTCTTCTATATTTATTTCTCTAATGGTAAAAGCCGGAAGTTCCTAGTTGACTTCATTTTCGAGATATTCAAGACATATCGAGTACACTATAGTTTTCTTTGTTTTTTGGAGTCAAAAATAGTTTATTCTATTATTTTTATGAATCTCATATTGAATGTCTTCTATATAAATGTGAAGGATAGAAAATATTTTATTTTATTTGAAGAGAAGTCACATTTGACCTATGTGTTAATATTGATGAGGTAAATGCGTACGAAAGTACTGTTTACTCTCTCACTGTCTTCGCCTTTTTTTCAAGATGCATTTTTCAATGTCGAGTGTTTTTGAACATCTAATAATAGATGAAAGGTCATAATTGCTTTAATAGATTGAACAATAGTAGTTGTCTTTCATTTAACAAAAAGACGACATAATGAATAGTAGTTTCAATACTCGAGAACCTTCCATCATCTATCTAACGATCAGTTTTCTTCTGTTAGCAATCATGCAAATAATTAGTATTATTTTAAGTTTAATTCTTATACTAACGATTATATTTCATCGTACACTTCATACAATTCCTAATTTATTAACGGCTAATTCTAGTTTAGCCATATTTATCTATGCTTTTGTTGTTATTATTCAAATTATTGTTGGATTACAATCAAAAGATAAAGGGAAAGAAGATCTATGTATATTTCTATCTTATTTCACAGCTATAGCAATAGATGTAATATGTTATTCTTATCTAGTCACTGCTATAAGCCAATATTTTTTTAATATCTTATATCGTCGAAAATATTTGTTAACATTTCGTATTCATTGGCTCATTATTATTATTAGTTGGTGTATTAGTTGTTTTCTTCCACTTTTTTTATATCTTTCTGGTATGTATGAAATTTTCTTAAAGAATAAGAAGACTATAGATATCAATTATTTTTAGGTGCACTTCAATATTCATCTGAAATGCACATGTGTACCTTGAAAATGTCTGTTCAATGGGCTCTATTTATTTATATGGGTGCCGCTCTTGGTATACCTTTCTTTGGTATAGTTGGTATATATCTTTATATTACACGTCATATAAGACGTATAAATACCATGACTATTGCAATTACAACTTCATTATCAACAGCAAAAAGAGATTTACATGTTCTTAAAAATATACTTACATTAATCGGTATTCTAGGTACAGCTGGATTACCAAATATTATTCTTGTCATTTGGAATGCTTTTTCATTAGATGAAGCACCTGTTTCACTTTATCTCATATGTGTTCTTACGATTAGTTTTTGTACAAACATACAAATTTCATTTATTTTTGTTATGAATAAGAATGTAAAAGTTGTTTTTTGGAATCATGTACAACGTATATTACATTGATTTATTAAACGTAAAAATAAAACAAACAAACAAAATTCATTGATACGCATGCTATTATCGAGAACTCGATCTAAAGAAATAAAAATTATAAGATTCTTCAATAAAATAAAACAAGAGTAACAAACATGAATATTTTACAATAGAATCATAATGTAATTAAAGTACTTAAGGCATACTTGGAACCGGTCGATCCGGTAAAAAGGGCTCTATCAAATCCTTTGAAATGAAAAAAGAAAACATTATGTGCATAGAATGAAGACCTGCAGAGAATTTCAAGTTATTTTTGATTCTTGTTTATTGAATATCTCCTAATAAAAAGTCATGTTATAGAGATGAAAACATCATTCGATTTGAATGTATTTGGTCCAAGATCGATTTTTGAGGAGGGAGAGTCTAAGTATAACGAGATGGAATCTATTTGATTCATTCAATTTCATAAAAGAAATGATAAAGCAATTCTATTCGCAACAAATTCAAATGAGGCATATTATTCAGTTGAATATAAATCTAAACATTGTAATTTCTCATTTAATTGATATTATTCTCAAAGAATTCTTTATTAATTTCATTTACTGTAGAGATTATTCATAAAACAAAAGAAAAAACATTGGTAAAGCAAGAATTTTCAAAGGAATAGAAAGATATAATTGAATCAAAGCAGAAAATATCGATACGAATACAGTAATAAAAAACAAGGTAAATTTCGCAGAAAATTCTCAAAGGAAATAAAAAAAAAGTACGAGTTTTGATTGTAACAAATACATTCATTCTGTTTCTTTGCATTGATGTGATCTCTACTATATATTTTTTTTTCGTTTTTGAACTTATGAAAAACGAAGAGTTTTCAATAAATAAAGGAAAAACATTCACTCAGTTGTATTTTAAAATATATCAAATTTTAATGATAAATACTGATACATTATAATAAGATCGATTCTAATTGATCAACAATCTATACCTTGAGATTTGTTTCATGCACAATCTAATTTTATTGTTTCATTTAAGAAAAAAATAACCTTCAAATTGTCTTAATATAAATTCCTATTTCTATTTCGATTAATGAGATTATTTATTAATTAGAAGAATTCTGATGAAAATAATATCATTATATTTATAAAATATCTTATACTCGCTTGTTTTGGTGTTAATATAAATAATTTTTTACGAAATAATATAAGCGACTATGAACATAAATTTATTTGTATATTATTTAATTTTTTGTTAAATATATTTAAACGATTTCGAATTACAAAAGAAAAAATATATGAACACAAAAGTTCATAAATTAATTTGTTTGTATGATTTGACATTATGTTTGCAATTTTACAACAACAACAATAGTAACAATAATAGCTACCATAATAAGAAATGGTATCCAAGAACGAAGAAAACCAGGAAAACTATATAAAAAAAATAATAATATAAACACAAATGAAAAAAAAGAAATAAATATTTTATATTTAAATACTTGACATATTTTCCACAGAAAAACATCCAAAATACAACTGAAACCATATTATATGTATATTTTCGATCATAACCCATTGTATTTAATGCCATGGCTACATGTGAATGACAATTATCACAACATAAATTATGCTAAAACAACAGAAAAAAAATCTGACATTAAAAAAAAAGAAAAATCTAATAAATTACCATGCGTTTTTTATATTCATCTGATGCTTGTTCAACAGCTTTATCCCAAAGAGCTCGTACATTATTTGAATTACTTGTTGTTGGAACACGATTTAAATTAAGCTGAAGATATCGTGTTGGTAAACCAAAAGCCATATCATCTTCCTATATATTTAATTGATTATATGAATTTCAAAAAAACAAAAACAAATTTTATGATTATTACTAACTGAAACATAATAAGGTCCAGCAAAATCTCGAATAACACCATCTGTACGAGCAATACCCATATGACCAACAAATGGAAAAAGCCAAGTTAGAACTGGTATTGGTGTCCAAACAAGACAATGAGGATATCGAACACGAGCAACATCAATTCGATCGTTTAAATTATTTGATAAAAAATTATCATCAACCATTTGCGTTTGTTTTTGTTTCGAAAAATCTTCAGTAGGAATTACAGTTGTTGTTGTTATTTTAGTTTCTTCACCAGATACTATATTCATTGACAAAATCAAAGACAATAAGAAAGTTCTTTTTCTAGAAACTAAAGTAAAACATCAATTTGACGATTCCATATATATATATCTGATTATTTCTTGTCATACAATTCAATTGTAACGCTCCATTCATAATACAACTCATATCAATCAAGGCTTCATAGATTAATAAATGAAAAGATGTCGCTGATAAACAGTGTAACATTTCAAAAAATGGCTCTATATCGTCGAAATCGACTCCATTTTGATTATTAATTGCCATATCAAAAAAAAACTAATGACTAATCGCGATTTATTTTATTGGTACGATAATAAAAGAGGCGTTGTATATCCGCCGAGACATAGTCGTAACATTGAACCGAACATTACAATCGTAAATGTTGTATGGAAAATTACTTTTGAAAGTGATTTCATCGCAATATAATCGACGATTTTGATCACATGAAATTTCATTGATTTCAACTTCTGTGATCCAAACCGACATTATCTACCTGTTACTGCCAGTTTACCGTAGTAATCCGCCGAGTTTTTTTTGTTTGATCCATATTCTATCAGTATACATTGACTTCCTGAGATTCATCTACACTATCGTTAATTTTCGATAATATTCTATTGAATTTTTGAGCATTTTTACATAAGAAAATTTCTACGAAAAAATTGAACAAATAGTTTTAGCGAGAAGGTATAATAAAAAACTATTATTCATTTCAAAAAAGAATGGACTCGGTTATTTGTTGAATAATTCAGCAATGCTGATAGCTATCGAGTTCGCGAAATTTCGTAATTTCATTGTCCGATAGATACCTACGAATGGGTTGAAAACGTCGGAAAATCTCGAGGTTTATGAAGTAGATGTTGGGCTACAATATGGCTGAATTGATATAGAAAATACGGCTAATCAAGCGGATCAGATAGTGATTTTTTAAAAAATCCCTGGAATCTTCTAGAAAACTTTTCGAGTGTTTTCATTCTCAGGTAGACTTGTACTTTCACTCATGCTCTTTCTAACGACGAGAATCTGAGCTTGATAACTATAAGCATCGCCGATTTATTCAACAAATAATCGAGTCTATTCTTTTTTTGGAACGGATAATAGTTCATTAACACGTTTTCATGGCAATTTTTGCGCCAAGTAATTAGATGTTTTGAATAAAAATCATAAGAAAATAGACTCTAAAAGTAGAAAAAAAAACATAACCTACCAGTGATATTCATCCGTACTATAAAACCTAAGCAAATGTATCATATAAATTATCAAAGAATAAAAAATTTTTAAATACAACAACTCAATTGCTGAATAGAGATCAGAATATATACAATTAATAATTGATATCAATAGCTTTAAATATTCTTACAACATATCAATATTTTAGACAAGATCATTTTATACTCTACTCATCTATTCTACAATCAGAATAGAGAACAACACAAAATAACGGCTGATCGAAATTATAGAAAAACCTTTTAGCTAATGAAACTTTTTTTTTTTGCAGTACCAACTATCAGAAAATCTATTTCTTTGTTTTCGATGTATATTTGTGATTTTTATAACTTTTGTATTGGGAAAAAAGTATAGTCTTCAGTTGAAGTCATGTTATTATCCTGTTTACCTACGGGTACCATCGATTAACAGCAGTTGACCGAATGTATTCATGAAATCGTTATAAATCGGTGGTTTCTTTAAAAAAGTAACGACATGAGATTTTAATTCTTTAATAATATTGTACATTCTTGAACATAAGAATAATAAAATGATTTCAATTATATTCTCAACCATCGACATACTCGATTATGATAATATAAAAGTTGTTAATCTTCTAAGAGATTTTGTAGTTCTTTATAAAAAAAAAAAAGAAAAGTAATATAAACTTCTGAAAAAATATTGAGACAAATGTTTTATTAATAAAGATCAGAGTAAGCAGGAAGCCGATAAGTGATAAAATTGGATCGTTCTCCAAATCGAGTTTCTTATTCGTCAAATAGTCAATTCAGATACTAGGAGTCGATTGCCATTCGAACTAATTAGCTAATCCTCATTCCAACTGACCACGGCTGATATAAAACTCAATATTATCTATCTCTGATAGGATCATCGTACATAACTTTCATATGAAAAGTTTTTCTTCTATTTTTCGCTCTTGTAACTTGAGTCATACACCAAATGAAAGCTAATTCTTGTCGCTATCGAGCAGCATGCAGGAGTGTAACAAAATATTCTTCTTTCTCTTTTTTTCTTTAGGTGGTACTTTTCACTTACATGTATCATATGAGAGCATCCATGAAAAAATTCTCCTTCCATGGTACGATTGAAAACAGCAGTCCACTTTGAATTATATCCTATCCGATATCCATTTTGAAGGTTTACAGATTACTACTATTGTATCAGACTTAATTTATTAGGCAAGAAACTTCATTCAAATGTCCAATGTTGGAAAGTGTTAAAAGTTACTCTTTTTAACTGATATTTGACCAGAACAGTTACAGTTTCTATCAAAACAAATATATTTGAAATCAACATGGAGAACGGAATCGATCTATGTATGTCACAAAATGATCTATCAACTTTTCTTTTCCTTCAAAATTTCAGCTCTCCAATTCTGCTCATGATTACCTCGAAAAATAAAGTCAGTCGGCAAATCAGTTTGCCTATAAAAAGTTAGAATTTTTGGATGAAAATAAAATATGTCGCAGGATTTTGTAATGCATATAGATCGACGCAATGTCTAATGCTAATTCAAAAATATATCACTTTTTAAATAAAAAACCTCATTATTGTGACCAAAATGCGTCAACTATCAATCAAAAAGATCAACTTTTGGCACTCGTGAACCCTGTGCATTTAACTAAAGCATGTCACAGCTCAATAGGAGGAAATTTTTGTCATGGCTATCCTCATACTACATGTAAGAATCGACAACGTCATCTAAAAGAACAAGAAAATCGATAATATTGAGTTTTGAGTCAGTCGCGTGCAGTCGAAATAAAGTCTAACGGTCTAATTCGAATAACAATTGTTTCCTAACTGTCTGAATTGACTATTGAAGAAATAATAAGGTCAATTTTGGGAGAAGTCTGATTTCATTGTTTAATGGCATTTTTATTTTCTTGTTGAAGTTTATCGAGATATTGTTGTCGTTTTTCTACTTCTAGATGTTGAGATCCGAATGCATCTGTAGCGATATTGACAGCTTTCTCAGCATGTCCAATAGCTTCATCATATCGATGAAGATCTTCTAATACTATGGCTAATTTTCCATGAGTGACAATTAATGATGGATGCTTAGGTGGTAAAGATTTTTGTTGAATTTGAAGCGTTTTATCATAGAATGATAATGCCGTCGAATAATCACCCATTTTTCGATGTATTAAACCAATGTTACTGTAAGTACTTGCTAATGATGGATGATGAGGTGGAAGATGTGTAAGTTTAATATCTAATGCTTGTTCATAACTTTTGAGTGCCTCACCATATTTTCCCTGATCATCAAGTACCGAACCAATATTATTATGATCAATAGCAATTTCTAATTGATTAGGTTTCGGAGCAGCAAGATCAATCGTAAGAACAAGTTGATAAAATTTCAATGCTCTATTAGAATCACCTAATTTTTTAAGAATTCCACCAATATTCGAATATATACTAGAGAGTCGAGGATCAATATCGGACATATATGTTCGACTAATGTTAACGGATTCTTCATAATGAGAAAATGCTTCTTTTAATTCACCTTTTTGTTTCAAAATATATCCCAATTGATTATGTAGAAAAGCATTTTCTGCTTTGTCATTAGAATCAACATTTTTGAGTAATACATTATAAATCTCTAAAGCTTTGTCAAATTTCCCCATCTTAATCATTAATTGACCTAGTTGACGCCATCCACTTCCATCACCAAGTGATATTCGCATATGATCAGTAAGACGTTTGAGTAATGGATCTCTATCATCTGTCAATGTCAAATTAACTTTCCATAGATGATCATCGATTTCTTCTATGGTACCAATTCGAAAGACACTAGACATTGAAAAAAGAATTTCTTCTTCTAAAGGACAATCACTTAGGTTGCTAATTGGAGTAAAAGGAACAGATGAAATTGATGGATCAATTTTTATTTCAAATAGAATAGCTGTCTTTTTGGAATCATGTTGATTTGAACTAGCAAATCTTTTGGCAATAGTTATTGCAGTTGTTGTCGAGAGGAAATAATTAAAAGACAATAGACCATCCTTTGTTTTCCTTAATTTTTCAAAATCTTCATTGAACATACCTTGACCTCGATATAGAGTAGTCGGAATTTCATTAATATCTAATTTTAAATGAAGTTGTTTGATTTGCTCATGAAGATCTCGTATAAAAAATGCCATTTTAATAATAGTTTCAATTTCCATAGTTCTTAAAGCCTTATTAAGCATATGATAAAGAAAACATTCTAGAGTGTACCACCAAATTGGTGTTTGTTGACTATAATTGTCTTGGAATTCAATAATTCTTCTTCTCTCGTCTTCATCTTTATCATAAATTGGACGACAATAATTAGTAAGTTGTTGTATGTCAATCTTACGATCGTATTTCATTTTGAAAACAATTTCTTTCAATAATTGAAAATACATAAATGATGGATCGAGTTCATTCAAATTAGTACTAGATGATGTCGAAATAATACTAATTGGTAATAAATCATGATTTAATTGATGAATTTCTTTTTTTAGTTCATTGCAAAGAAGTTTCATTTGAGTAAAAATACCTTTTCCTTTTTTATATGCTTGAATAATTTCATTAGATTTTAATATTCGATTACAGAATATATAGATTGAATTGAGTTGAGTAAATTTTTCTTCGAATGAAGCAATCTCTTTAATAAAACAATCAGAAATAATTAAAAAGACTTTTTCATTTTTGATTTGTTCAAGAAATTTAATACATTGATTAATATCAGTTAAAGTTTCTATAGTATTAACAATAGATCGAAGTTGATTAATTAATTTTTGATTTTCTTCTTTCGAAAAATCGAGATTTGGATCTAACCAAATAATAATATAATTTTCAATAATATCTTGTGGATATTTAATTGAAGTAGTCTTGACTATTGATTGTTCTTGAGATTGAATAGTTTTAACTGAAGATTGAATGTTAACTGGTTTGGACATTGTACTTGTTTGTTTTGATGATGTTGTCGTGCTTAATTTTGTATTCTTCTGTGCCATTGTATATCTATTCAAATAAATAATCTTTTTAGAATATAAATTTATTTTATTAATTTTAACTCACTTTGTTTTCCTTAGGAAATACGATGAGTGCGATGAAAGCAATAAAACAAAATCTTTTATATTTAGATCTATAATTAAATATTTTTTCTTATTAAAATTATCAAATTTACAAGTTATTAATTTTTCTTTTTAACTTATTTCAATATATCTCGCAGGACAACATAGATGCTAAATCTTTAATATCCAGGTCAATGATTTTGGCACCTAGATCTGTGAATTTTCGACAGGAAAATACCAGAAAGTTCTCGAATTTTCTGACCAATTCCCTGTTCGTTTGAAAAGAAAATGACTGTTTGTCATCGGAAAAATCTGAAGACTTTACGACCTAGAATACTGCTTCCATGCTCTATGGGTTTCCGATATTTTTCTGCCAGTTTTAGTGAAATCCGACTGTTTCCGGAATCTGAAACCATAGACACGGGATGGTAGGAACTTCGATGGAAGAATTCAGTGGTCAGATTTTTCCGGTCGTAACCGATAAGAGCCGACCATCGAATTCCTGCTTCCAAATTCTTACCATTTTCCAGAGCTTTCCAGCTGGAAACCGCCCATATTTCTTGACCTAGGTACTTAGGGTATACCAAAAGTTCTGGTCACGGTGTTTGAAAGATCTTTTTCGATCATGGAATCTTGTGAGAAATGAAACAGCAAATATCCAATGTTGTATAGAGCTTTTTGAGGCGCGTCGAATAGTATATAGTAAATCTTGTGTTCATAAGACTTTGAAGGATCTAGAGTCAATTTACTGATAGACGACTACACACTTACACCTACACTCATCCGTACCTACACTGACAAGATGACCGAAGATACTACATATAGGAAGTTGTAGCCCATCAAAAACTTTACACAATCGTATGTGAGAAAAAATATTTTAAAAATACTTTCAACTAACATCAGGGACCACAATATTCAGAAACTTACTATGCTTGCATGTGAATATGTAGTTGTCTATCAGTAAATTGACTCTAGTTCCTTTAAAGTCTTATAAAAACAAGATTTACTATATACTATTAGACGCGCCCCAAAAAGCTCTACAATATGGTTTATCTGGCTTTGCATTTCTTAATAGGTTCTCTTATCCGAAAAGATTCTTTAAACGCCGTGATCAGAACTTTTGGTATCTCCTAAGTATATTATATTCCAAAAGATTCTTTTCAATAAATCATTCTAATTGAATTGAACTTCTTTTAATTCTCTTGTAAAAACTTGTAGATTCGAAAGTATTTATTCTTCGGATGATGGAAAAATAAAACGGTTTGAACATTGGTTCTATGAAATTAAACTTTAAATCTAAACATACAAATTATAATAAGTTCGACTAATAGTATTGATTGGTATAAAGACAAAAAAATAAAAATAAAACGAATATGCTTGTAGTTACAATAGTTATTTTTTATTGATTCTTTCATTTACTTCATTGATTTCGTCAATTAATTGAGCAAACATTATGTTAAATTCATATTTTGTAAAATCAATATATTTTTTATTGTCAATAATTTTTTCTAACCATCCTGTTGGATCATATTGATGATCGATTTTTACTGGAATAATTGGTCGTTCTCGTTTCTTAGCATATTCAGCTTCTAATCGACATGCATATGAATTTCGATACTTAGATGAAAAACACATAAGAATAATAGATGATTTTTCAATTGCTTCTGCCATAATTCTTGGATTCGAACTATGTAAATTATCTTTATCAAATAAAATTCGATAAAAATCTGATGCTATTAAACGATTATAAATTTTCAAACAAATTTCTTTATCATCTGGATAATAACTTATCATAAGATCAAATTTTTCTGAAGTTTTATGATCAGTTAAATTAAAATGATGATCACCTCGAACATATTGATAAACAGCTTGTTTTTCATCGAAAATTTTTTTTATTTTTATTTGATTTTGTTTTTTTTGTTTTTCTTGTTTGGACATAAATTCAACTTCTTTTTCGACTTTCCATAAAATACGCTTAGCTATTGCTCTTTGATATTTGTCATTATTATTGGATAAATCTTTAACATGATCCATTAGATCATCATTTTCTTTTATCTGTTTTACAGCTGAATCATTTACAAATGAAACTGCATCAATAATTCGAAGAGCTGGAATTTGAATTGTTTCGATATCTAGATTTTTTTCATATGCACATCTTGCTAATAATGGTATACCATCATCATCATTAACAATTTCCTCTTTAACATCATCATTTTGAACAATTGCTGCAATTAAACAAAAATATCATTTGTTAAGCACTCATCATTAGAGTTACATCATATTAGATTGAGTTTCGAACAATAATCAACTTATCTTATAGGAATACGACAGTTTAGTAAAAGTTCAGATCTGATGAACTGTATTGTTGAAACAAAACAGTTCTTAAAACTGAACTATCAGAGCAACATTGGTTCTAATTTTTGCGAAGGTAGTTCCGGTTTTGAAAATCTTTGTTCTGTTATAAAAACGCTGTCCCAAAACAAAATAAATTTCTTTAGACAGTTCAATTACATATGAACTAAATTTTAGCAATATTTCAATAGCTCATTTGATCTGAGTTCATGAGCTGAAACTATCTTAAGACTACTCTCTCATGAGAGCATTTCATCAAATGAAACATTCATTTTGAAATAGGCTTTATCTTTTCAAGTAGCTTCTTACTAAATATACAAAAAGTCTGAAAGAATTTGTGTCCATGAGCCTTTCATCTTTACTTATAATTATTTTAGTAAATTCTATCCACAAAATGCTCTGATCTCTGTGAGAATACTTCCAACATTGACTTTCGATCTCAAACTTTGCATACAGCAAGTTCTCAATGGGAGGCCTGTCCGATTTCTTACATTCGGGTATTTAAGTATAAGAGCAAAGACAAATATAGGATTTTCACTACAGAACGGAATAGTTGTAGGCTTGTAGAAAACTACTTCCTCTATGCAATGGTGTGTGTATTTATCAATTTCTGTTGAGCTGTCAATAAGTGGCCCTACTTTTACCGCGACCACTTAGAACGTGACAAATGAGTTGCCATCTATCGGAATGTCAACATTACGCAGCTGACTTAATCATACACACACCATTATATAGAAGAAGTCTTTCTCTACAAGCATTTACAGATCCTGTTTCGTAGTCAAAGTCATATTGTCGCCTTTGGTCTGATATAGTAACATGAATGTTGCTTCCGCCGCATCGTCACTTTTTCACCTACCTATACTCGTATCACGCGTCGCTTGAGTGCGACTACCGCTGGGCAGCAAGTGTCGCGGGAGTATCTTTCATGCAATCGTCTGATTTTTATATTTCTGTATGGTAGATATTAGAAAACTTGATAGTTTCAAAATGAACTATAAACAATCGATATACAGTAGAATGCAAAAGTCCTTGCCCCTTGTGTGGACTACCCTTCTGAAATCAGATCTCGAGAAGTTTTCTTAAAGTTTTTTAAGTAAGTTTATCAAAAGTAAGATCAGACCAAAATGTATCTATTTAAAATGAAAATCATCGGAAATGACCTTCAGCTAGAGAGAGAGAATGCTTTCACGATGAAACCTCACTTCGTCAAAAACCGAAGGGAAATCTCATTTACAGTATTGACATGATTGACAGTGAAAATCTTATCAAAAAGACTATCCGCAGAAAGCTCTTCGTTCGAACTGTATAAAAATTTCTTCAGCTGACTGAGAACAATGAGGTTTATAGGGCTGAAAAAGTACATTAACCTAAAAAAGGATGAAATCGTCAAATTGACACTGCGCGAAGTCGATGTTAATTCTATAAAAACCGTCTAATCCATCATAAAACCTCATGTTGAGAAGAGAAACGATCAAAGCTGCGTTATTTCGACAAATTTTCTCGTGAGATACGTGAGAAAACTAGCTGAATTACCCTAAATGATTTTATCAAGTTAGTAGAAACTAGGTATTTGGGTGTGGGCCACTCAAAGAGAAGTCGAATCAAAGAATTATTTTGTAAGTGTTGAAGCTTGAATTAAGCCTTGTCTATGAGTATAATTTATTATTATAGCTGACATATTCATGCAGAGAGATACGTGCAACATTAAGGGCAAAAACTTTTGCACTCTACTGCATATATATATATTTATATGAAAAACTGAAAATGATGGATACTGAGCAATATTATCATGGACTTTTTGGGAACTTTACTAGTCTCTTTATAACCAGTGCTTTTTCATCAAAAGATGAACAAAACTATTAAGTCTTCGAAGTACTAGAGAACATCGACCAAAAATTGTCAAAATTTGCGTTTCTGAATAATTTTTTATGCTCTTGCAAAGTAGTAAATTCATTTTCACAAACTAAAATTTCTCGGCAATTCATTTGAATGATAATCTCATGCACACTCTCTTAACATTTTTTTTTATTATTAATTCAAACTAATATTCATATTCAGACAAAAAGATTTTTCAAAATAATAAAATCATACCTTCAAGATTGGTTAACACACCATCTAATTTAATTCCATGATATGTAAGTGTTACATCGTCAATTGTATTTTCAATAAGATATAAATAAGACCGTGCTATTATCGATGGATTATTTATTTTATCAATATCTTCTCTATTCAAAATCGCAGCTAGTGTTCGAGCTGCGAATTGTATTGTTTTGTCTCTTGCATTGTATAATGGTTTACAAATATCTATTACTTTTTTATCTTTTAAATCATGAAAGATTTTCTTCTCAAATGTTAAGTTATATAACACAGTTATTGAATATGACATAAGAGCAACATCAGGATGAAATAATTCAATATTTTCACTAACACTTTTTATTAATGATTCTTCTTTTAAGATGTTAATTACTTGATCTATTACCGTTCTACCGGCATCGAATTCTGAAACAAAAAAAAGAAACGAAATATTAAAACACATACAATAGGTGCTAGCATACATAAATGAAGACTACAAATTATATTTTATCAACAAAAAAAAAGCTTCAGTTTAATTTCAAGCAGATTGAAAATAGGAAACTGGACAAAAATATAAGTATTGTTGAGAATTTTTTCCTCATACGTAGTGGAAATTATGGAAATATCCGAGAGTTATTTGACAGCAAATATCTACTGAAGCTACTTTTACTAAGTATTGCATTGGATACGGGTGTAGCTGTGGGTTGGGATCTTTTCTCATTTTGCAATCAAAATATAGATTCTTCTTCGTTGGGTATTTCACGTTTACCATACATTCCATTTTTCTAGTACAGTTTCAATATTCAGCAGAAATCAGATTTTATTTTATTCAGTCTATGACAATGATTTAAGATAACAAAGGATGCATTAAGCAATCATAGAATAACGAGTCAACGATACAAGTAATATTGTTGATGCTTTATGTTATATTCTTCAATAGAATTGTAGGTAACTTGTTTTTGTATCATCTTTTCTCCAATATTCTATTATTCATAGAGAGAGTATAACAGCTATATGAAAAAGTGACAATGACAAAATGGATACAGAAGATGAGCCTGTGTAAGAGTCACCTGTATTCAGTTACTCCTGTATGTCGTGACTCTTTCTATTATTAGTGCCGACCAATTATCGATGTTATTAATAGGCAATTCAATGTTATCCTTATTATCTGATAAATTACAAGGACGAACTGTGGTTCCATTTTATTTCGATCATAGAACTTGATAATGAAGTGACTTGATGAAATATATGAGATTTATTTTAATGAATATTGACTTAATATAAACGATTTACTCCATAGTCTTCCATAGAAATTGTCATGGATATCAGTGCAACTAGTTTAATCCACAAAAATAAACACGTCTACGATCTATTTTCGCAAATAAATGAACAAAAAATAAGCAACAAGATAGAAAAAATCTAGACCGACCGATTTGGAAAAAGTCGTTTCTGCCATCCAGTAAGAAATTCTAGAGTGGATCGGATCGACTGATTGCAACACTACTGAAGACCTCTGATACATAAATATCTCTATTTGGATTTCTTCGTTGCATTTTCTTGTCTCTTGTTTTCCGAGACCGATACTAGCCTAGTTTCTCTTCTACTGTTGTTTCTCTTTATCAACCAATGGATCATCTTTTCTATAGTTGAATTTTCTGTTGATTATATTGTATTTCGTTTTTATATGAAGAAATATACAAAAGCCGATTTACTCAGACAAAGATGGATCCCTATAATATGCATTTAATAAATGCTCTTCAATTTTAATTGTAGACAGAGATATCCTAAGTTGGTAGCCAGAATTGGGAAGGGTCGATTGCAAGGTTTTTTCTAAATTTAATCGGATTTTGTGGATTGGTGGGGAAAAAAACACAATAAAAGGCTAGAGATCTGCTATGAAAAACGAAAATTTTTCAAGATTGTAGGAGGCTCGCCTCTCAACTCCATCCTCGCCACTCAGAACCTCCCTACTTGTAGAAAAAACAGATACTTTGAAAATTTTTATTTCCTCTATTTGCGTCTTTGTTCATGATCCTTTAAATTTGATCTCAGTCATAGGTTGCCTGTGAAAGTTAATAGACACTTTATTATCTCTTTATATATCTTATCTAAATTATATGTGATTCTCAGAAATCCCTATTAAAGACTTCGATTAATCGTTTGGTGAATCTATCAGAATAAGGGGGCGTAGAAGCAGCTGGAAAAAGCGAGAATTCAAAAGTGCGTATTCCATCTGCACTCCGAATTTCTTTGTGTAGAATAGATGGAATCTCGTTTTTTCCCATTGAGCTGAAAACAATGATAGAATCAAGAATTTCATAAAGGACATTGTTTATAAAGCATGTATGAAAATGAAAGTAGATTGATGACTTTTAGAATACTATGGCTTCGTTCTAATTCAATACGAACATTTTATAGACTAGACAAGATAAATTTCAAGATTTGGAAAAGTCTAATAAATTCAAACATCAATGAATATGAATGATAGTTCTTCTATGAATCAAAGAATGAAATATATTTGAACTTACTTCTGATAAAAAACTCTCTTGTTGTCGGCGTTAAAGCAATATGATTTAATAATTCAACATACCAAGCGATCGATTGATTTAATGTAACTTCACTTTCTGAAACACTCGATGAATATTTTTCAAAAATATCATCATGATATTTTATTATTGATTTCGATAATACATTGGATATATCATCCTGTCGTTTGTAACTACATAAACGAATAAATTTTGGACATGTATACATAAAGAATGATTGCTGTGGATTTAATATATGTTGGCTAAGATTAATAGTTTTATATAAATTTGTATAAATTTTTGATTCTAAACATTTAACAATAGAATCAAGAATTAATCTTTTATCAATATCATTTAACTTTATAAAAACATGAAGTAAACGATCAATAATTTTATATTTAATATGATATGATTCATAATTATTAATAACTATATCATTTTCTATAAGTCTTACAAATTTTTTAATAAATAATTCTGTAAAAAATATTTTTTCATATGATAGTAATTTAAATATTTCTTTATTATCTGGATTCAATTTTTCATTATTATCAATATAAAAATTTGTTGATATTTTATTTTTATATAAACATAAATTTCTTATTAATAAACTAATTCCATCAATACATTGTTCATCTTGTTTTGTTAAAGAAACAAAAGTTAATTTGGTGAATAACATTTGAAATGTTTTATTGAGTATAAGAAAAAATTTATGATTTATTATTTCGAGATCATTAAAAAAATTTAAAGTAGTAAATCTTGCCATTTCATAACAAATTACAGATAAAATATGAAGACCATCAGTTTCATTATGTATTGTATGATTTAAAAATAAAACAATTTCATTGAATAGTTCTTTTACATCTTTTGATGGTTCACCTTTACGAAGTTGACGAATGACAGATTGATGACGTTCAAGTAATGAATCCATTTTAAGAAAAAAATACAAAATTAAGTTTTTTTATCTAAAAAAAACTAATATAAAAATGAAGACGAATATTATTGTTGGGAAAAACAAATGAATCAAGGATTAAATAAGAGGATAAGATACAACGTAAAAAGTAATAAATGAAGTAATTACTATAGAATGAGGTTGACTACTAATATACTAATTCGAATGAATAATGCATTTCTTAATTATTTCAAAATCTAAAAAGTTATGAATTTATTAAATGAATCTCGAGATGTAAAGAAGAAATAATTAGTTCTTTTAGGTATATCGTGTGATTTAATTTCTTTCTATTATTTCATCACAATCTACAACAGACACGTATGCTTGTCATGATTTTGTGGTTAAATCAGACGATTTCATTGTAGAATTCAGCTCGTATTTAATAAAACTCAGAATTGAACATTTATATAGAATCATTCTAGATCCTAATATAGAGATTTCACCTATAGAGTTCAGTATCAGATATTCTTCGGATATAAATAAGGATTCAATAGTTTTCATAATGAAGAAATTAATTCGATCGGTTGTTTATTGATTCATTAGTGTTTTGTACAAAAGTCTTTTATAGATAAAAATAAATGTCTTTTTCTACTTAACCTTTGTTTTACTATTCATGATTGTTTTTTCGCTTGTGCTGCACAAAACTCTTGCCATTTAATCGTATTTGATAGTTTTATTTGAATAAATTCTTGTCGCCATGATGGATACCGTTTTTTTGTCCAAATTTCATTATTTGGATCATCTAATGCATTAAGTTCTTTTATTTCTTTTTTTGTTTTGAGTTCTGTTCCGATTTTTCCTTGTATATCGTTCGATGTCCTTTTAATTTTACCTTTTTCAATATCTTCTATTAGTTGTACTGATTGATCGAGAAAACGTTGCCAAACATCTGAAGATTGTTTTAATTTTTTCAATTGTTTTCCAGAACATCTTCTTTCATATTCTCGTCTAAGTTCTCTGTCTTTAGTAATATCCCAAGCAACAGTACCTTTTTGAAGATCTGTATTAAAACGTGGATGACGTACAGCATTAGTATTTGTTGAATCTGCATCTACTTGTTCTTTCTCATCCTTCTTTGAATGTTCTTTTTTTTTATCTCTATCATCTTGAAAGCCTTTACTAACAAGTCGTTGAAAATAATTATGCGCTTCATCATTATTGAACCATGGACCAACTATTAAATCTGAATCATTAGAATAAAGATCATATGAAGAATGATCAGAATCATTCGAATAAAGATCAGACGAAGAATGATCAGAATCATTTTGACTCGCGTTTGCTACCCACCATGAAGCCTTGTTTTCCAAAGGCATTCGAAATATAGCATCGTTAAAATCACCCGTTAACGTAAATGGTGGTAAATTACCTTTGATGACAGGACCATTTGATGCTTTTTCTAACCAACGTTGTGCACTTGATACAACAGCGCTCAAATAGTCTAGAGTAATGATAGGCTCTTTTGAAAAAAGATTAAAAGAAGGTATATTTAGATTGACTTCTTGTGATATTAATCTATGGCGAAGTTCTAATACTTTAGTAGTAGATGAGCAAGTAAATGTCAATATGTATAAGATATATGTAATTACCCTAGTAAAAGTATGTAGCTTATGGTACTCGAACGGATACCTTATTATCAGTGTATCACAAATGTAGGGTATCCGATGGCTGTTTGATTAATTAATAGTGAGATACTTCTAACTGCTCAAATAACAAATCTGTAGAAAAATTTTCAATACAGACCGTCGAACCAAGGCATATACAAAGTCCGAGTATCTCGAGTTCGGTTAGACTCTTTTAGGCTCTGGTTGAGCTCAAGTCCGATGGAGCCTGAGTCTGGTCGTGCCATAGTCGACCCAAGCCGAAGCCTGATGGAGTCCAAGCCTGATCGAGCTCGACGGAGCCCGAGATTTCATGTATTGAGATAATTTCCATTAGGATACACGACCAAATGCCAGTAATATTCTAGTATAATAGGGTACTTTTTCGAGTTCGTTACTATAATTATCTCACGAAGGAACAGTCTCAATCGATACTTCCCGTTCAACTTTATATTTTTCCTATAAATAGGACTCTGTAAGAGTACAAAAGACCTAAAAGAATTCTTCTAGAATCACGACTGTTTTATTGAGATTTCGATTTGTTGCAAGGTATTTATGGAAAATCAAATGAATGAGTTTTGACCTGAAATTTTTCTAATAAATAGATATGATAGCCGCTAGAACGTTGTCAAAATTTCAGCAAAAATAAATACTTTTCTCTTGAACTACTCAACATTCAAAATACGATCGTATTTCACAAAAAGAATAACAAAATCAGCTTCTATTTAAGATTTTTTTACAGAAATTTTAAAAACATTCTATTGACTATCGAGCCTATATTATAAGAAAAATTTCAGGTAGAAATTCTTTCACTTGATTTTTCTACATTTAATTCACCAGAGATCAAAATTCTAGTAACACTTCCATAACTTCGAAAAGAAGGCTAAATGGGATGAATTCTTTTAGGTTTCTTCTAGAAAATATGAAGTTAAACGAAAAAGATCAGTTGGGAATATTACCTTGACAATCAATGGATATCTTAATTGCACTACTTGTGCAAGCGTAATAATGGCGATTGATAGTTCATCAAATAACTCGTTTCAGATAAAATACTAATTCTGTCTAGAACTACGATTTTCTAAAAAAAACTCTTGGAAATTCTCTAAGTATTAATAGTCAGCTCGAAAAGTTAGAGTCATTTTCCTCAATGACAGTATTTTGTGATATATGTCAATGGAATCAAATTATGTAAGTAATTCTAATCTATCTTATTGTTTCATTAAACTTCTAAACAGTAGACATTTTCTTTTAGATAAATTAATATCACATAGATATTAGTAAGTATTTGATTTCAATGATTTTATCATGGTATACTTCATGTTACTAACCTCTTTTATATTTGTTCTGATAATTTTCTTCATTTTGAGAAAGTTGGGCTTCTTGTTTCTCGTTTTGTTGATTGTTTTTGTCTTCGTTTTGATGAACTTGCTCTTCTTCTTCCCCTTCTTTTACTTCGACTTGTTCTATGCCTTGAATAGATTCTTCTGATTTTTGTTCTTCTACTAATATCGAATCTTTAGCGTTTTCATAATCTTCAATAACATTTTTTAAAGAGTTGATCAAATCTGTTAATTCATCTTCAGAAATTTTATCTTTTTCTAAAATTTGTTCAATTTGTTTTTCATAAATTTGTTCTTTTTCTCGAATTTCTTCTTGTGTAAAATGTGAAAACATATTTGATTGATCAATGTTGTCTTCTTCTTGTTCTTCTTTATTTATAGTAGTATCAGACATTGGATTAGTTCGATCAACTGCGCCAGGTTTTGTATAATGTAACTATGAATATAAATACTTTGTTCAATTCATCAACATGCATATTATGAGAATAGAATTAACTATTCGATATAGAAAGTGATTCGCAATGACTGGATTCTGTGAGTTCTGAACTTTTGAGACTCAAAAAAAGTGCAATATTCAACACGAGACCTACGGACCTTACAGGTGTGGATGTAGATTTTGGCTCTCTCTACACCAACAACGGCGATTATATTTGAATACTCACGGAAAAGATTGTTAAGTATAATTATCATCTCTCGTGGGTATTTCGAATTTATGGATGTGAGACACCGTTGCAATTATTTCAAACTTGTGAATAAGCAAAGCATGATGATGTTAATTTCGTTTAAAATTCTAGGAGTGATCTGTTATCTAAATTTCAACAAAATCTTGAGTTCTTAGAATTGTGCTTCAGCTGTTGGAGTTCCATTGGTTCTGTGAGTGAAATTGCACTTTTGAGAGTATTCCATGAGTTCAGAACTCATAAAATAATATAGGTGAAACTCTGATTTCAATCGAAATGTCTATGCTCTCTATTGAAACTAAGCGATTTTTAAGTAAACATAATTATTCGTTTAGTACGATCTTCAATCTGCGAAATGACTTCTTAGTTTCTGAAAAGTTATTCAGCGGAAATAATGGTAGAAACTACATTTCATTTACAGTTCATTTATAGTCAATTGTTTCCGTTACCAGATACATGCTATAATTCTAAGTAGGATAGTCAAAAGATCGAAGTTCTTTCTTTTTTGTACGTCAAAAAAAAACCAATCCTTACTAATTCTATTAAGAATTTATCATAATCCAAAGCTAAATTTCCATTTAATTTAAATTTAATTTCTTCTTGAAATGATTCATAATATAATTCTTTTGTGTGAACGATTTGAAACCAATCATCTTCATGTTTTAATGAAGTTTTTGTTAACATAATTGGTATATATTTCTTTCCAGATGATTTTATAGTATTCAATGCTATCATACAAGTAGCATTTTCGGAATAATTAAAACTAAAACAAATAACAATCAAATCTGTTTTATCAAATTTTGATCCAATATTAGAATGTGTCTGATCAGAATAATCAATTGTTACTAGATAACCTTCATCAATTAAACGATTAGCGAGATGACGTAACAAAATTTTATCATTCGAACAACAATTTAATAAAATATTGAAAGAATCAGAAGTATTATTCAATATTTGAGTTGAAGATGTAGATAATACTTCATCAGATTCTAATATTTGAGTACAGACTAATAATTTTTGTCGTTCAATTTCTGACATTAATTCATATTTTTGTTTTACTTGATTAACAGAAGAGATTGAACCAATTAGATTTAAACATTGTTGTTGGGTAGTTTGTTTATTAATTTGATAAATCTTTGGTAAAACACAATTTTCAAGACAATATTTATAATATGTATTGATCATATGTTGATTCCATATTTCAGGATTGAATGGATGATTTAATTCAATTGTTGTAAGAACATTCTTTTTCATATAATCATTTATGGATTTTTCACATTTGGATATATTTGAATTTCCTGATGCTTTGAGAGTTATTGAAGTCGCTAGATTAAATAAAAAAAAGAAATCATTAAAATAAATGACTCTTCGTATAAATAAATGAAGTGTATTAAGTACAAATGTAGAATCATAGATTTCTATATCATGATATATTGAAAAATATTTTATTTCAACTAAATTCAAGTCATTATAAAAACAAAGGAAAATCTTCACTTTAGTTTATCATGATTAGAAATATCGTCTTAATCTTAGTATACTAATTCAAGTGTTTTATCATTGGTATGAAAATTAATCATCATGCTTTGATATTCGAGTTTTTTTAATGCATCGGTGTTAGCATTGTTTGGAATTCTAATACATGGACTACCTGCGACTAGATCCCTAGAAGTTCAAACTCAAAAAATCCTCAATAACAGAACAATTTTGATTTGTGAAACATGATCTAAGAGAAGTATTGAAGTATAGGATTAAAAGTTTGAACTACACCGTTCCATATGTGACAGACATATCTACGTAACTATCCATCATAGACCGTGATAGATGTTTCAGTTTTATTCCTTTGTTCTCATGAATCATGACAAGTGTACTGGAAAAACTGAAGTCTATTGCGGGATTGATATGAAATATATTTGAATTTAAGATAGTTGCCCATTGTTCTTCGTTTATACTGATTATAATATATAATGATTATTGTCTTTCCTCATTGGCATGGATTAGCCATAGGTAGAAATTCACGAAAACGAAATCTGTGCTAGTGAATTGTTTATTTTACAATTTCATCAGTTTAATTGTTTTTCACATGTTAATCTCGCAGTAATCGTACTAAATCTTTGTTCGATTTTGAAAAGAACGATTCTATAATAGAGAACTTTCGAACTTGAACTGTCAGAAGTCCAGTCTCAAGTAGTACAGGTCTTAGAATTAAAAATAATGCTAATTCAATACTAACATCTTTACATGAAATAATTCTAAAGTCAAATAATACCAAACTACCAACGACAAAATTCTTAAGAATCATATTTTTTTATGGATACATCCATCAGTAATCAACTGCAAACAAAAGCAAGGTTATCATAGGAGTTTTTGTCGAGATCGTTGTGCTGATCATTTTAGTACAAAAAAAAAAAAGGATTCAAATTTACTGAATAAATCATAGCGCTATGATCAATTGAGTAAATTTGAATACTTGTTTTTTTTTTACCAAAATGATCAGCGTAATGAGCTCCATAAAGTTCTACAGACGAAAAAAATCTTCTGAGAATCTTATATTTTTTTTTGTGATTGACTATCCATGGAAGTATCTATCAAAAATACGATTCGCAAGCATTTTATCCGCGTTAGAAAAACATTATGTTTAAGCTTAATACTAATACAGGACACGCCTATTTATGAAGCTTGTAGAGCAGACATATTCATTATGATATTAGGTCATTCTCCTCATCTTTATCTGATATGTTGAGTGTACAATAAAATACAAATTTTTTCCATATATTTCAATTGCAACATACTTGATATTGGATAAAAGAATTGTTCATAATCATCTCTGTCTATTTGTAATCTTAAAATAATTTGTAAGAATTCATTATAAAGATCACTTTGTTCATCATTAAAAAGAAATAATATTTTCCATGATCGATCAGAATATTGTTTCGATTCAAGTTGATTTATCATTTCATTAAGAAAATTTTCTGCTAATTGTTTCTTATTATCATAATTTTTCCAATCTGTTGTTGTAAATGCAATTGTTTTAACAATATTGGCACAAAGTATATCGATTTGTTTAATTGATGTAGAAATAAATTTTTTTATTGATTCATTTATTTTATTATTATTATTTTCTTGTGAAAGATATGGTGACCATTCAATAAATAAAATTCTTTTATTAGTATCAGATTCAAAATAACCATTACCATATTTTGGATCAATTTTTTCTTTAATAGCATCTCCTATTGTTGATATAATAGTAATATCAACCTAGAAAAATATAAAATAAATAAATAAATACACATAGAATAATTCATTCATTAAACTACGTAACTGTTGAATCATATGATGTATGAATTTCTATTGTATTATTTGATATAGAAAGTTTTTTCCATATTGATAATGAAGAATAAAATTGATTTGATTGATTCATAATATATTTTGATGTTGTTGTATTTTTTCCTTTAGGTAAGATAATAAGTTCTTTTTTTGTTGCTGTATCGATTTTATTTATTTCACAATGATAATTTTGAGCAAGAGTTGTTAATTTTAAATGATCTTTTTCTGTTAATATAAATGCATTTTTAATATATCGAAAGATAAGTGTAATTGTTTGAAAAATCTTTGATTGAATTAATTGTTTTATTTTTATGATTAAATATTGTGGTGCAATAATTATATTTTCACGAATTTTAATTTTAATATTATCATCTTTATAATCTATTTCGAGATTTTTTATTTCATGAACATAATTATCTAATAGAAATTCACGCTACAAAAAAAAACAAATTAGTTAATAAATGATTATATTAATTTTGTCGATCTATAAAATACTATCGAGTCATGGACGATGAATCTATCTTATGGAGTATATTTTGATTTATAAAAGTTTTAGTTTATGTATGTCGTACGACTCATCGTCTTCGAAAAAAAAAACTTTTCACTCTAAATGATTTTATCAAGTAGAAAAGCATTATGATCTCTTAGAATTTTGTTTTTCTAATCTTATTTATATAAATCTGATGCAAGTATAAGGGCAACTCAAATGATAATTTTAATGAATTCCAGATGAAAATTATTGATTCAATAAATACTTATTTTTATTTTAATCATATACACAAAATTAATCTGCTACTATTGATCATTACTTGAACTGTGTGATTCTCTGTTCAGCAGCAAGTAGTCAAAAATTAAAGGCAATCTTTTATTCAATCTAGATTCTGTTTTTCTAAAAACAATCGTTTCGGATTGTACTAATGATAAACAGAATACTATTAAGGTAGTCCCCTCTTTATTGGCCACTTCTGGTTCCCGAACAGGATACAACCGATTCACCTGGAATTTTTACTACCGATAGAACACCTAAAATATTGACATGTGTGTTCGATGGAAAAAAATTTTAAGCAAGGCTTTTGCGATTTTATCTGGAACGCTCTGTATTCTGTAGAACTACATCGGACTTTCTAATGGCCTCTACCTCTAACTTTGTACAATCAAGCTGAAATTTTTATCACAAATACTTGGAAATTTCCAAAGAAAATCATGAAAATCTTTTTTCCTCGAGCATATGACTCCTTATTTTAAGTGTTCTATCTATGGCAAAAATTTCAGGTGGATCGGTTGCATCTTCTTCGAGAACCAAAATGGTCAAAATTGGGGGAGGAGAGTACCCTTGAAACATAAATCCCATATCTGAAGAATTGAAATATGGATTAAAGAAATCTGCAAATACACTAGCTAATATATTCATACTTGTGTCGAATCAAGTCCGATCCATATTTGTCTCATTCGATGTTTATTAATCAATAATTTGATTTGTCTTTTAGCAATATCAACTTGATTTTTTAATCCAAAAAAACTAATTTTCATTTCTGTTTGATAAGGATATTGACAATAAATAATAGCCATTGTTTGTAATTGTAATTGTTGTTCTTTTTTATCACTAATAAATTCATCTAATTCTTTTCGAAATTTAGGTTGAATATTTTCTACATTTTGTATCATAAAATCTTTGACATAAGATATTTCATTATTGAGTGTTTGATTAATAAATTCTTCTGAAACACTAAACATATGTTGTCCACTAATATAATGAACTATATAATAACCGGATAATAAATTTGTTTTTTCCCAAAATGTTAATTTTTTCTTATCGAAAAAAATTTTTTGTAAAATAGTAAGTATAGAATCGGAATAGATATATTTTGACCAACGAATAACTAAAAAACAAATGGAATGATGTCTTTTTTTTTCTTTCTCGTTGTTTGAGACAAATGAAGATATAAAAATTTAATTCTTTACTTTTTTTATCTTTATCTTCATCATTGAAAATTTTAATTTTAATTGTTGTAAGTAATGAATGAAGATCATTGCGAGCATTCTTGACATTTTCTTTGATACCCGATAATTTTATTTCTAGTGTAACTTTTGTATCATATTGACATTCTATTGGTATATAACATTTGACATTATATTTTTTTAGAATATATTTTGTTAAATTTGAACAAATTAATTCATTTTTGAAGAATTTCATACTGATACCCTTTGGTTCAATTGTATATGTTTTTGTATATGGTCCTATATCATTGGTTGTATGAGATATATTTCTTGAAGGTATAACTAATAAACTAAACAATAAAGTCAATATGTTTCATTCAATGAATAATTCAATTTTTATACATCCATTTACTTGTTTTCGTAATTATTTATATTTGTATGAAGTTCTTTATTTACTGATGAACTAAACAAAAGAAATGTTACAATAAAAAAATGATTAATATATTTACCTGCTTCGTCTACGTTTTTTTCTCTCTTGTCTTATTAATTTTCTATATTCTTCTAATATTACCTTAAATTTACGTTGTGTTCTCATTGTAGGATTTCTTATTGTTCCATCTTCATCTTGTATAGATAATAATTTTAGAATATCATCATCTTGTAAACCTACCAAAGCTATGCCATCAATATCTTCATCTAATATAAATGTATGAAAGTGAATCATAATAAACAATCAATATGTGAATTTCTTACTTTTGAAAGTTTCTATATATTTATCAAAATTATTCACTTTTAACCAGTCTCCAACTTGATCTACTGTCCAAATAGCCATTGATGTTTCTAAATATTTTATGATTGAAGATTAAATAATCAAAAAACAAGAGAAATACTTATATAACAATAGTATTCACACGCGATTTAGTCGTAATACTTAACAGATACTACTCTTCGGCATGAATCAATTATTGATACGACTGTCATGGTCTCCAAGTGTGATGCGCCGTTTTGAATCAGATCTATACCAGTTAGTAGAGCTAGATGAGACTAGACGAAACCTAAAAGAGTTCATCCTCATACGCTGTCCTTCTCGAGTTATCACCGTTTTATTGAGTTTTCGAGTACTAGCAAGGTACATATGGGAAAATCGAATTAAGGGATTTTGATCTGAAATTTTGCCCATAGATAGATCTCATGGTCATTAGAGTGTCCTACAAATTTCAGCCCAAAAAAATGCTTTTCTCTTGAGATATTGAATGTTGAAGACATCCGTTTTTCTGACCTTTCCTCGAGACATATGATTGTTTTTTGGATACCCAATATCTGCAAAATAAAACATTCTTTTGGCCTGAAGCTTTTAGAACATTCTAAGGACTACGAGATTTATCGATGAGCACAATTTCAAGTCTCGAAATCCCGTGCTTCGATTTTTCCATAAATACCTTACTAGAAGTCGAAAATTCAGTAAAACGGTCATACTTCGAGAATGACAGTGTATGGAGACGAACTCTTATATGCTTCGTCTAGTCCCATGGAGCCCTACTAAGTAATATAGATCCGATTCAAAACGACGCGTTACACTTGGGGATCTTTCCTCATGAGTGACTACGTAGTTCGACACATATTCGCAGGGTACTGTATTCAAACCTTAGTGCCATCAGTTATGAAGCGGATCTGAGCAAGTCACCAACGACTGTTTGTCTCGCATCACCCATTTGATAGCATGCTGATTACACTATGACATGCATCTGTTTTTGTACCTAGTATGTGATTAGTTAGTGTACATGAGGAGTTCAAGCAATTGAGAACTCTACGTTAGGCCAGTCTTCTGTTCTGGGCTACAACTAATATGAGGTGTAGAAAACATATCGAGTGATTGGAATCTGTCGCTAGATAGTACCCTATACCGCAAGGTAGCTGAAATTAGGAGTATTATTCTTCTTCTCATATAATAGATCCAATCTGTTCCAGTTATCATATTTAGATAGTATCATACTTTGCTGTATGTTTCAACGCTATCTGATTCTGAACAAGTTATTTGTGTCGAATATTTTAGACTATATCCACTCGCCAGTATACTTTCTACATCGAAACATATATCTAACGATCCAATTAGTAGTGTCCTGTGGGAACGATTTTTTGCCGTTCCGATTCCTGGAAAGTCTTCGGGGAACGGGAATAATATTAAAAATAAACGTTTCAGAAAATTGTTTTGTTTTGTTTTTATGTGCATTAAGATATTTTAATGTAACACCTTTTTATTATTAATCACTATTTTTATATATAATAAGTTATGCAGAAGTCTTCGGAGAAACGTTAAGACTCATGTCACAATCGCTGAATATTGGATAGGTCTGAACTTAAACAGTAAAGTCTGAAGAATGAAATAGGTCAAGATAGTTAATATTTTTACTTTGCCTTAGTATGATGAGAGTTAAATACGAAGCAGCGCTCAAAAAGCTTTTGCAGCCTTGTTTTTATATATTTTCAGCCGTTGACTTCATGATTTTGTTTGTCTCAAACTTTGAGTTAAACTTATCTATAAATAGAGGTTTTCAATTCTTACCATTTCATCCATTTGGCAATGTTTTTTCGGTTACATTACTGATAAGAAAATTCTCTTCTATAATGTTTCCTCTATTGAAACATCAGTGGGATAAAATTTTTGAAATGTATGCCTTAGATACAGTATTTTTAGCTCTACTTAATAGTATATTCTAGTCGTGTCACGAAGGCATTGAAGTAATGCCAGTTGCCAAATAAATTTTTTCGGGTGTTGTAGTGGCTTTTTAAGATCAGTAGGACGGATGCTCTAGTATAGCATAAATCAACCAGATAAGCAATTTTTTGTTTTATGTATATATATATGCTTCAAGCTTTGCTCTTTCAAACAAAGAAAAGGCCGAAATCAATTCAATATTATATTATTGATAAATTATTCACTTATTACAACTATTATTTTCTTTGTCATTATCATCTTCGAAAGGATTATTATTATTCAGATTATCTTGCAATATAACATTATTATTATGTTCTTCTTTTGAATGTTTTCGTTTTTTCATTGCTATTGTTGATGTAATAGTATTTCTTTTCTCCTTGCAATTGATAATAGAAATGATCCTCTTCATTTAAAGTTGATAAATTTCAATGCATAAATAATAATTGATTTATTTTACTAAAGTGTACCTCGAATCATAACTCTATTTTTAATTTAAGGTCATCTCACATTGCGCAAAATGCGATCTTGACAGAAGTTAATATCTGAAAATGATACTTTTCCTCAAACGTGAAGAATGAAATCGTAATAGAAAGTCTAAAAGCCTCACGAGTACTCAAGAGCGTGAACGGGAAGTCGGAATTGAGAAAAGTTGTGCCCACAGGATACTACCAATTCATCATTTTGAGACGTAATACCTTTGATAACATTCCATCTACTAATAAGACCTGAAAGACGGAGCGTTCTTCATTTAATTTAAAAGCTTTCAGCTCTGTATTGAAGGTTAGATTGTAATGAATATGTTTATGAGTAAGACCAAAAGCGGCAAAACTTTCTTTCCCAAACATTTCCTGTCTTTAGTTTGGTGTATTTCAACCGAGCAAGAGAAAATAGAAAAAAAATCCTTCACCGAATATGAAAAAACAAACAAACAATTGTTACTGATATATCGTGACTTCGTCATCGAAATTATCTTTTATACGTCCGTGTCTTTTAAAATTTTTCCTTTTTTTTGCATTTGATTTTCATAATCATAGAGGCATACCTTAAAACTATTCTCAATCAATGAAAAAATGCTATTTCCTTTTTATAGCAACGAAATGAAAGATAAAATAAAATTTATTAGCATTGAATGTATTCGTTATTCGAAGTTTTTTATTTGCAAAAGATATACATTGTCATATATACAGCTTCTATCTGAAGGATTATTAATAAAAAATTGAAAACTTACCAACTCTATATGATAGTTATTATTCGCTCTATTTTTTGACAAATAAAATGAAAAAAAAAAGAATAATGTCGTAAAAACTTCTTCTGTTTTTTTCTATCAACTTGAATTTTTTTCTTTTTTTTTTGTAGAGAAAATGGTATTAGTCGCCAGTTGGTAAATATAAGAAAAAAAAGAACGAAAATTGAATGTTACTTCAAAAATTCATTCCATATCTCAAATCATTGAAGAAAAGTGACAACCGACATAGACTGATTAAGTAAGTTGAACATTTCTGAGACATAAAACAATCTAAATATAGTATGACACAGCATATAAATCTTTAGAAATTCATAAAATGACTATAAGTCTTGAAAAAACAAAGCTTTTTATATCAGAGGATATTAACAATTGAATACAGTTTCGAAATTTATCTAAATAAAAAGTTTTTACATCATATCCGAAAGGTAAGTAAAAACAAAATATTACAAAAAGAATCATTATAAGAACTTCTATGAATCATAGAGAAAAAAAAAGAATGGTAATGTAATGCATATTTTGAAATACCTAATGAAATCTTACAAGATCAATGAAACAATACTATATACAGAAAAAAATTTCACTCATACTCTCGAGACTTCATTGATGATTTTTTTGAAAAAATTTATAAAAAAAGGAAGTAAACAATATAAAATAAAAAAATCATATCGACGAGTGATAATAAATTAGATGGAAAAAGAAATGGAACTCGAAAGCAAAACGAACCAATCTTTTCAAGTTTGGATTTGGTTCGCTTTGGATAGGAAAATTTTATTTTTAAATTTCTAATTGATTTTTATCAAAAGATAAATTATTGTTTCGTTTATATTAATCTTTTATTCGGTTATATCTGCAATTTGTGTGTGTGTGTTTTTTATTGTTGCAAACATTCATTCGATATTCTATAGTATTCCTACTTTTACAGATTTTATTAATTAGTCAGACAAAAAAATTTCAATAGTGTACAGAAATATAAAGAAATTCTACACAAAATGTGGATGATCCAACTGATTTAGTGTAGAATGTTTATTCAACTGTTATAATTCAAAAGGTTTCATACGTCTAAAAAAATATCATGTTTCTTAGACTGATCGAATAGAATAGAATTTTCTTCATCGAAAATCTAAGTTCTTATTTCGCCTCACAACGATGTGTAGGTCAGACCAGCAAAAAATCTACAAGAGTTCATTCCCTTGAACATTTGAAATCAAGTTAGAATTATTTTATTGAATTTTTGACCCAGTTTTAGGTATACACTGAAAAAAAGTATAGAATTTCGACGTGAAATTTCGTCCATAGATAGATCTTATGATCTATAGAGTATTCTGAAAGTTTCCAGTCGACAAAAGTATTCCTTTATCGAAATATTGAATTTCCACAAAATGATCTTTGGACATCAGTATGTCACAAAAGTCGAGTTTACGTGAAAATTCAATATCTCAATAAAGGAAGATTCTTTTCGGCAAAAACTTTTAGGATATTCTATATCTTATTAGACTTACCTATGGGCAAAATTTCACGACAAAATACTGATTTCTATTTTTTTCGGTATATATCTAAATCTGAATCGAAAATTCATTAAAAAAATCATACCTTGTCTCCAAGACGGTGTGCATCAGTTTAAATAATTCCCTCGTTAACAAAAAAGAGAATTAGATATCAATATTTAGGCGTGATGTGTTAAGGCATGTATTGTAGACGCTATCAAGATCAACATTCTTGGATATCATGGTTTTCCTAGAGCTTTTAACCATCGAAAAGTTTCAATAAATTCTTTTAGATGACAGTTGTATTTTGTATTTAACTTTGTAGTTAATGGAGAATTGGACAGTAAAGAAAGTTGGTGATTGGTTGAAAGCAAATGGTTTTAAAAAGCAAGTTAAAATATTTAAGGGTAATTCTTTCTATAGAATCTAACGATTGTAAATCTCTTTATATTGATGTATTTAGATAGGAACATAGATGGAAATGCTCTAATGAAACTAACGGATGATGATATTGTACAACTACTTTTGGAAGTTAATAAAGATGGAACGATACAAGAACCAACAATTGGAATGAAAAGTAGATTTAGAACAATGTTAATAGAATGGAAAAGAGAGAATGAACAAAAAAAGCAGACTAATCAAGATGAGTAAGCAAAGTTCTATTTGAATCATTTCTATTATAAAAAATATTTTTATTTTATTGAGAACTGCTAATGTTTCATCTATCATCGTTCCATCTAATGCGACTGATTTAACTAATTTAAATGAGGTAAATATTGATATTGCTTAATAAAGATAGAAGAATTAGAAGTGCATTTCAATTGGAAAATAAAATCAAGATGTATTCTCTATTTTTTTCCAATTTGACTTGCCGAATAAGCTATTTTTTAATCTGTTTTTTTTTCTGAATATCTCTCTCAAACATCCTGATATAGAGCTGAGAAGTTTAGCATAGCCGCTCCATTTAAAAGTGTCAGTTTCTAGTTCTCTTCCCGGAAATCCGGAAGCCGATGCTGATTCCGTTCTTGGAAACCTATATCGACTTGATACAGATTGAAAGAATAAGCACGTCGATATTTATTAATATAATCAGAAATGCGCGGAAACGAAACCCTAGGAAACAAAGAACCCTAACACCCCTACTCTCCATTACAGCTCTAACATATCCTGAAAATGACATACGACTTGTTGAGAAGGGAAAGAGATTGAACGGTACTCCCTGCCACGTTTTCGGCGTTTCTGGAGAACGACTCATCAAAAAAAGTTGAAATTTTCAGAGCAAATAGATCTTGATGAGTAGAGCAAAACTTGTCATTTCCGGATGCTGTTTTCTATGAGATATTGGGATCATAATGGCGAAAAATGGATCCTTTTTTTGTTCCCGTTTCTTCGAGATGCTATGTTTGATCGAGCTGAAAGTATTTTCACAAGCACAAGACACTGTTTGAAGTGGATATCTTTTTCTTTTTTTGTTCTTCGAATAAAAAAAAAACAAATTATCGAAGCTACGTTAAAAAACGTATGTTTTTTTTTGTAAGAGCTATTAAAAATTAGCAGAATAATATTTTTCGAAACCACAGAAAAATACCCATCCGAAACAATCTATAGTATATGTGAAAAAAGTTTCAGCTAGATTAGACACACTAGGCCGAAGAAAGAAGGGTATTTTTGCACTTTTCTTTCATGAAAAAGTTGGTTTGAGAAAAGCACGAAACCATGTACAATTTTCGCTATTTCTCGTATGTAACTTTGATTGTTTAATGTTTCAAGACAATATTCGGATCCCAAACTGTATACAGTACACGAATACTACTTCAAACTATACATTGACTACAAAAAACAAAAAATTTTGAGTAATGAAAGTGAAGTGTGGGCGGTACCTTTAATCCAAAAATATGTAGAATTTCAAGCTTTATCCATTGGTATAAGTCTACAACCAAATATTCGTCAAAATATCTTTTTATGCCTATCATATACAAATTCTACTATATTATTCTGTTCATTTTTTTCAGGTTAAACACCAAGATGATGTCGTTTCTAAAAAATCTAAAAAGAAACACTCTGATAATGATATATGTGAAGTTAATTATTTAATTGAAGATGACATTCATATTCAATTCCTCAGAAATCCAAAATTTCTTCCCTATTTAATTAATTACATAAAACAAGAAATATTTTCAATTGAAATTGATATTAAACAAGTAAATTCAAAAGATGATGAATCATTACTTAATTATACGGTTAAATTAATAGGAAAAAAACAACAAATTCGAGTTGTTCGAAGTTTTATTAAAAATTTATTTAAATCAATAAAATCAAAAATTTATCATCAAAATAAAATTCGAAAATGGTTATTTGATTTAACATTCATTAATATTATTCAAAATATATTAGATAATGAAAGTCATCTATTTACTCTATGTCAATTTAGTAGAAGAAATAATAAAATCTTAGAAATTTATTATTTTGATAATGAAAAATTTAATTCTTTTCAAAATCCTATTGAAATTGATAATATCATTCAAAATCAAATTTCCGAAGAAAATATTATTTTATCATCAAATAAGCATTTACAAATTATTGAACATATAGATATAAATTCAAAAAAAATCTTATCAAATTATAAAATTGGTCCATCGAAAAAATATGAAGAAGAACTACATAAGAATATAAATCAATATGAACAAGATAATATGTTAATTTCTATTACTCGAAATCCATATTGTAAAAATCGAAGTAATACAAAACAAATAATTAGAATATTTGGATATCGAAAATTCGTCGAAGAAATTTTGCAAAAGTTCAAGGATTTATTCGATAAATATAGATTGAGAAAATATAAATTTAGTCAATTTTCATCTGAACAAGTACGTCTTTGTTGTATTTATTTTATTTACAGTTCCTTCATGTTTTTAATATAAAAAAAAACAATAATTGACTATATCTTAGTGATGGAGCCAGAAAAAAATTTTTAGGAGACTCAGCTTTCCTTTTAAACTAAAAAGCAGATATTCTCCAATAATATAAGGTCATCTCATTTCTAGAGAAAACTTAAAAGTTTCAGAAACGAGACTGATCCACCTCCTGGTTTCACCACTACCTTATCCGGAAGTATTAATTGATTTTGCTATTTATATAATTTGAGAGTTTTCGAAATATGCGAAATCAAAAATAGAAGTATATTAGAATGGGGATCTAAATAGTTGATCATTCACTTCTTTGATTCTTTGTCGATTAGGGCTGTTACATTACTATTACTGGTAATAAGTAATAACTTATAAGGTTATTACTTATCGCTAATAATTAGTGATAATTTTCAAAAGTAGTAAAAGTAATAAAGTGATAAAGTATTAAAATTAGTAGGTCAGAGAAGTAATATTATTATTAGTTTATTATCACTAATACAGTAATAAAAAGTCAACGGTAATAACTGTAACTAGTAATAAAGTAGCAGGATATTAGCTCATAGTTCTTGAATAAGAAAGAATGGAAGCTCTAGCATCTTTTATAATAATCGAAACAAAGAGAATTAATATTAAAAAAATGATAAGTAAGTGATAAAAATTATTACTAATTACTTAATAATAGTAATAAAAAGTGATAGTAATGTAGTTGCTCTATTATCAATTTGCACGTGTTCAAAATTAAACAGTAAAATACATTGGAAGTCAACCGTTTTCGATACAAAAATTTCGAAGCTTATCAAAGTTGGAATCGAAGTCAGGATCGGATTTCGAAATTAAAAAAAACCTGATTCCGTAGGTCTCTAATGACTGATAGGTGTACCTACGGTTATCGCCACTGTTGTATCCCTCTAACTATTACATTCATTATTTTATGTAGTTAAAAAATGCTGAATATTTTTGTACTTTGAATTTTTATTCATATTTTTCCTAAAATATCAATTAAACTCTCTTTTTTCTTTTATTTAGCTTGACTATCTTGCAGACACTTTTGGTCAAGCATTGTCTAGTGTTGGAGAAGAATTTCAAGACGGTTATGTAATTTACCATTTAAGACAAAATCAATTTTATGCACCAGAATTTTTAAAAAATGAAGTTCAAAATTTTATCATAAGTTTATTATCCAATTTAAATACAAAAACACTGAAAACAACAGAATTCTATTATGATATTGCTGATAAATTATGTTCAAATATAAAAAATATTGCTCAACAAAATCATTGTTATTGTGAATTAAAATTAAAAACAAAATTAAAATCTTATTCAATTCCAAGATCTAATGAAAATACATTGATTACATCGAAATCAATTATTGAACAATCAAATTTATTGTGTTCATTACCATTCGTTTTTTGTCAAACGAAATTAACCCATGGATCAATTGACGTTCTTATGGGTGATATTGCTTTACAAAAAGTTTGTTTTTATTTTATCAAAACTTTTAATATTCACAATAATTCTAGGTCGATATTATTATTATTCCGTCAACATCATTTGGATTAAAAGAAAATTTAATCGAACGAGCAGGTAAAATCATTGAACAGCAATCATTAAATCAAACGGATCAAAAAGAAAATGAAACAAATTCAATGCCATTCATTACTGAAACAACTGGTGGAGAGTTGAATTGTAAAAAAATTTTATTTGTAAATTGGTCGTTACCAACAATGATAACAAATGAGGATTATTTAAGTGATTCGATTCGATTATTTATTTCGAAATCGATTCAGTACGTTATCATGAATAGTCAACAAGAGAATTTAAAAATTCAATCAATTGCATTTGCAGTTCCTGATTCATGTAAACACGAACAAATTTTAGCAGAAGAAATGGTTGAAGAAACAATCAATCAAATTAATTTAACAAAATCTTTATCATTAAAAGTATCATTTATTTTATTACCCGATCAACAAACATTACATCAACAATTTTTAAATGTTATTCAGACAATACAAACTACGAATGATAATTTTGGAATTTTTTGTTGTCCAGCATCAAGTAAGATTTTACTAAATTTTTATTCACATTCAATATAAACTATTATCACTCGAAATGAGATTTGTAGAAATTTCTATGTCATATACGATTCTATTAAATTTACATTAGCAATTGTTCTTACGAGAGAAGAATTCTAAGTGTCAAATATTTTTGAGTTGAAGCTATATGCATCATGCAGGTCTAATACGCAATAAATACCCTGAAAAGAGTTCATCTTCTTAACTCATTGCTTCGGAGATATTGCACTTTTAAAAAACTTTTTAAATGAATGCATGGTCCTTTTCAGGAAAACTGAGTTTTGAATTTCGACTTGAAACTTTGCACAGAGACATGCCTAAATAAGAATAGCTTATTATGAAAGTCTCAGAGTTTTCGATTGCATCTATTTTGAAATAAGAATATCGGACTTTGCCGTTGTTTATGAACAACGTGAAAAACATGCATCTTAGGATAGAAGCAATCAAAACATTTGAAACTTTCGCGATCATGTATTTTTATTAAGGTGTGCCTCTGTGCAAATTTTCAAGTCGAAATTCGAAACTTTGTATTTCCGGTTGTTCCTGAAGGGGGGGGGGGACGGAGCACGGTATTTATTTTAAAAATGTTGTAAAATTCCAATATCTCTGAAGCAATGATTCAAGAGGATGATCTCTTTTCAGGATATTTATGGCTCATTAGCATCTACAGGATTCACATGGTCTCTGTTCAAAAGCAATTTATCAATTAGAAATGATCATTTGTTAGTTTTAAAATTTAGTTCTTAGATGATCGTTGATAAATATCACTGAACGATTTATAGCAGCACTCCGCGAGCTGCGATAAAGCTTTTGATGACAGCTAGGTATCATGGTATTTAACAGTTTTGACTATTTCTCGCGGATTATAGTATTTTCTTTATTTGATGTAATGAAAAAGAAATAGTAATTATGACTTATATGTAAAATCAGCAACATGAAGTCTATTTATTCTACATTTTAATTGATTTTTTCTAAAAGAAATATTTGCAAGACACTTTCAAAAATCGACATCAAATTATATTATTCATCCAAAGTCTTACCATATGTATTGTCTCTTGTTTTTTTAGCCATTACAATTACCCTTACATCATCAAATCCTGAATATTTTACAGAATGCGAAAAAAAAATTAATAATTATTTAAAAAGATCTACTTTTGAAATGAATCTAGATGGATTTCAACATTGGAATCAATATATGATCAATGCTTTTTATAAATATTCTAATGATAAACATGTTTTACCTAAATTAGATAATCAACAACATATTGTATTATATGGTCCTATAAATAATGTTTATGAAGTTTATCAAAGATATCAATTAATAAATGCATTAATTCAAGAAAAAACAAATTTATTATCACTATTTTCAACAAATATATCATCCACTAATTTCAATATTATGTTAAGTTATTCACAAGATGATTCGATAATATCACATCGTTTAGCTAATCGTCTTATTGATGAAGGCTTTTCTGTATGGATGAATTCAAATCAATCAACAGAATTCGATCAAATATTAAGAAAAATAAAAAAATCTGATTGTATTATTCTTTGTATAAGTGAAAATTATTTTCAAAATGAATTATGTGAAAAAGAAGCAAAATATATTGATGAAATAGGAAAATGTATGATTCCAGTAAAAGTTCAATATTATGAACCAATTGAATGGTTACAAAAATTAATTGAAAAAGAATCATATTTTCAATTATTTGGATCAGAAAATCATTTTAATTTAGAATATGATAAATTATTATTAAAAATTGTAAGTTTATCGAAATATGCCAACGACAAAAATGATCGAATTTTAAGAAAATAGTTTTTAAGTGTTCCAAATCTTTAGGAACTAGATCTATCTATTGTTTTAATGGGGACAGTAAATAACCAAGATTAAAGTTGAAAAAATACTGTTCAGCACAGAATTCGTGACCGAAATTCAGTGAATCAGAACGATTTTGGCTAAGATTTCCATGATTTAATGAGAAGTTTTTGTTGATTTAGATAACTATCGATTCGTATATCATTTAAAATAAACAAAATGCATTTCATTATATGTAAGAGTTCTAAGTCCGTTATAGGAATAAACTATTTGAAAGTATTTTCTCCGTCTTCTTTGTTACATATTCATATTTTTGCTTTCAAAATATTCGTAATTCAAAATTATTTTAATTTCTCTTTTATCAGTATCATCATGTTTCTTATTGTTTAAATATGTATTTGATTAGACTTGTTTTGTAAAACACATATTCTTTCTTACATTATATGTTTTATATAAAAACTATAAAAATCCGTCTGTTAAATAATCCTCTTGGAAAAGAAAGAAAACTAAATTCATCGATCAAAATTTCCGCAGTTCTGATAGCATCCAAACGTCTTATCAGGATTGATAAAAGAAAGAGCTGTCACAATAAAGTTTCTGAACTACATAGTTGAAAACTTATCGTTCAATCAGCCACAATCCTATATTAAGCTGTATTCTATTTCGATTTCAGATACAATGCATAAGACACAATTATGTATCTTCACTTGAACAAAAGTCTAATAGATCGGATGTATTGCAGTCGCATGATTTCACTAAATCCTTCGAAAATAATAGTACATTATATTTTCTACTAACACCAGAACAAAAAAAATTAAAATATGAAAAAGATATTAAAAAATCAATGGAATTAGAAAAAAGAAAACTAAGTGACGATGATAAAAAAGATCTTATTGAAAAAGTACAAGAAATTCTTCATGTAAAAGAAAAGCAATGTTCGAAGTATATATCTGAAGGTATATGGCCGTGGCGTAATGTATCAATTTATTTGAAAATATTTTTCTCATCTTTTTCTTCTCAATAGATTGCCATATCCTATCTAGCCTAAGTTATCAACGAAGAAGAAACGATCTCGTACAATGTATATGGTTAGACATCGGAATATTTTCTTATAAACAATGGTTAAATAAAATAGAAAATTTTAAAACATTATTAAATATTCCACCATTTACATACACTGGGGATATTAATAACGCAGTATTTCCTATGTTGGATGAAACTTTACAAAATTCATATCTATTATTTTCTTTGCGTCAACATTATTCAATGCCCGACGAATCAGATAGTCTTTCAAACAAGAATAATTCCAGTTCTACAAGTCGTTCGTCAACACCGAGAAAAATATTTATCTCAAAACAACTAGAAATTCCTAGTGAAAAAGTAAATATTGATAGAATTGATTCTCAAACAACATCAAACCAACGAAAAATTTCGATTAGTAGTTCTTCTGAAGAAGAAATCATAACGAAACATCGAGAAATTCCTAGTGAAAAAGTAAATATTGATCAAATCGA